CCAATTTAGTTGACGGCTAACTTGTTGACGCATACACCATGTGCAGCACATTGTATAGACCTCATGCTTGAGGCTCTTGGTGGTTTAACCGAGATATCAGGTGCAGTGAAGAAGGCTAAGTCAGTTATAAATTTCATTTATGGCCACCATCTCACCCTCAACATGATGCGTAGTTTTACAAAGAATAAAGAGATTGTGAGGCCTGGGGTCACAAGATTTGCGACCTAATACTTATGCCTAGATAGCATACATTCGAGGATAGTACAATTGAGGCAGATGTTTACCTCGGATGACTGCAAAGCATGCAAGTGGTCCAAGGATCAGGTTGAGAAGAAAGTGAGAGATATTATCCTTTCTAAGGCTTTTTGGCAAGGAGTGAACGGCGCTCTTAAGGTATTTTTTCCTCTTGTCAAAGTCGTTCGCATGGTTGATGGTGACAAGCCTTCAATGGGCTACATATATGAGGTTATGAAGAAATGCAAAAGAGAGATAGCCCAAAATTTTGATGATGATGAGAACTACTACAAGCATGTTTAGGAGATTATTGATGAGAAGTGGAATAGGCAGCTACATCGGTTATTGCATGCAGCTGGTTATTATTTGAACCCAGCTTTTTTTTATGTTGACAAGGATATACACACAAATGACTGGATTTAATAAGTGTGTAGATGTGCTAGTCCCTAATCTTGACATCTAGGATATTATATACGTTGATGAGCTGATAAATTACAAGTGCTCATTAAAGTCTTTTGGGAGTCCAATGGCGATGAGGCAAAGGACCAAAATTGATCCAAGTAGTAATAATATTCTTAAGTTCATCAAGTTCAAGTAATCAAGTTTCATTTTTATAATTCTATTATTTATTTATGATTTTATTCTATATCTTTGCAGCCAATTGGTGGAGCCAACATGAGTGTAGTTCACAAAATTTACAAATATTGGCCATTCGGATCTTAAACCTGACCACTTCCTCATCCAGTTGTGAGCACAATTGGAGTACTTTTGAAGGGGTAAGGTCGTAAGGGTAATTTGTATAATTGTATTAATAATACATGAACCATAGATTTTAATTAGTTTCATTTGATTTTGTTAGATTCATACAAAGAGAAGGAACATGCTTGAATCAAAGAAGCTCAATGACCTAGTCTATGTCGAGTATAATCGATTCTTGAAAGACAAGTTTGCTAAAAGAGATAAGAGAGACCCCATCAGATCAAAAAATATAGACAATGCTATGGAGTGGTTAGTTGATGATGCTTCAGAGACATCAGCTGACCCTCATAGGGCCACTAGATCTTCTGCACAGAGAACGAGGGTGGAAGAGGAAGAAGAGGCCGATTCAGAAGAGACAGATGAGGACAACCAATATGTCGAGGAGGGTGACAACTCCGATGAATATGATGCCAATGCAGCTGACCATAATTTTTCTGATGATGAATGATGAATGTTGAATAATTATTAAACTTTGAACTTTGATTGAACTATGAATGGTAAATTTTAAATTTTAATTGGATATGGATTATGGACTGACTTATGGTTATGCTTATGGAGTGTGTGGTAATGTGTAGTATACTTTGAATTCTGATGTGCCCTAAATACCTAATTCTTATATATTGTATATATATTTTATACAATATATAACTATAGAATCCTTTTTGGATTCAACTAGGCCGCCCAGGTTCTCGACGCCCACCTAGACGCTGGGCGGCCTGGACTCCCAGGCTACCTAGGAGCCCCAGGTTGCCTAGGACCCGCCTAGCGCTTTTTTGAAACACTGGCATGATTTATTTACTTATTTTGAAAAGTAGTATGCAGGATTTACTCAAGTTGATGCCAATGACAATTATTACATAAAGACACTAATTGTTGATGTGAATATAAATATCCAAAAGAAGTTACAAAGAAAATAACAGACATGACAACTTAAGCTCAGAATAAAGGGGAAAAGCTAAAAGCTATGACTGACTCAGAACATATATAAGAAACACTATAAAGATGAGAGGGGCAAAATGGCACTTAGGCTTTTCGCTTCTTAAGATCCGCTGAGATTTCACTCTAACATCAACCCCAGTGAATAGGAAGTCCGATTGTAGAAGTCTGTTTTAGAGAACAAGGAATAATCTCATGTCAAATGAGTTAGGAGCAGTTTGAAAGAGAAATGAAACCCTCTTCCATGGGACGTATTTTGGTTATTAACTTCCAGTTCTGCTTTTTGATGAGGTCATGTTTCTTTCTCCATCTCTCTCTTCTTGTTATATACCTAACAAGGGTTTGGATTTTGAAATGGACAACAAGTTGTAGTTATTCAGAGTTCGTTTGTCAATGGCTTTGTAGTTTCAAAACCAGTGCACAGTTGGCATTGGGTAGATATACTACACAAATAGAATGTCTACAGTAAATATAATTAAAAGGTTATCCATCCTTTATGACAGACAGTGGAGGTGAACCAATATTGCAGTGTCAACTATTAACAGACATCTCAGTGGAATAGCAGTTAATCCAAACTGTCCACACAGTGATTAGTTCTTGTGATTACTTCTTTGAAAGGCCACATTTTTTATGATTCTAGGGAGGTGAATTCCATTCTCAAGGGTTAAAGTTCATATAGTGAATATGCTCTTTACAATGTCTAATCTTCCAAGATGAGTCCAGAAGATGAGGTTTCAAATTAAATCATTAAAAGAACAACTTCAAGGTACAATCGTAAATGCTATCAAACTATTATGACTATATTGAGACAATTTGAAAAGGAAAACCCCAAAAAGAAAGAAAAAGAAAAAAGTGTTCCAACTAACCCCCTTGAGCATGTTTGGGTAGGCCATGAACCTGGAGTCGTGTTTTGATAACGTCCAAAGGGCACACAAAAGTCGCAGCAATAGCTCCTACAATGTGCAGGATTATCGCAATAATACTATCAATTTAATTATTTCGATATAAGAAATTAACAATGGCAATGAGCACCAACCAATATTTAATGGTAACTTGGCTTCGAAAAACACAATATTTTCATCATTTGCAGAATAAAGCATGAATCAAAAGGACAAATGTTTTGAGCCAAATAGAATTTGCTTAAAGTTTTTTGTTTTCTTTCTCATAAAAATCTCGCCTAAGAGATATAGAATTCACCAAGAAAACTAGAAGAAAAAAAAGCTCGTTATTTATGAAACTAGAGTAACCAGACGAAAATTATTTAGAAAAATAATTGGAAAACCCATGAAAAAACTAACCTGCACCTGCCCCAGCAACGGCATTGCAGAGAAGATCCCTGGTACTTGGGCCTCCTGAATCTGAACCCATGTTCTTGTTTGATCCTAACTACTAAAAATTCAATGAAATTACAGCTCAAATAACCAAATAATGCAAATCAATTATAATTAAACTTCCGAATTTCTTTTCTTTCTTCATTGAACATGAAATCAAAAGACCCATTGACAAGATAACGAAACCCCTTTGATTACAGAAGGAAACCCTCGATTTGATATCTCTCTTTTCTCTACCGAAGACGGAAGTGCTAGATTTAATGGGAGAGTGTCGACATAAATGAAAACAGAGTCGACAAAAATGAAAAATATATTTTAAACGGATATAAGTCTACAATTGAAACCCTAGGGCAGAAGGCTGAAGTGCTTTAGTCTTCTAACTAGACCGTGCCGTCCCATAATAAAATTAGGGCCCGGAAAAAATAAAAAATAAATATTTCTATAAAAATAAATGCCCAAAATGCGTTTAAAATTTTGAGAGGTATTCTGGTAATTTTTATTATCATAAATAATTGTTTTTTTATTTTTATCAAATGCACAGTTGTCAAATCAATGCATGCCCCAAATTTTAGCTTAAGATAATTTATAGAATAAAAAATAAAAATAAGAAACTCTGAGCTGTCTGATCAAGACCTAACGGTTAAGAGCTAACTTGTGACATTGTAACTCAAGTTATCTCTACCATCTACTCAGCTATGACAGCTGAGATCAGAATCACAAATAATATTATATATATATAT